TGGAAAACTGCCACCTTATAAATATAAAAACTTTTCATCAGTACCAATAGTATCTATTATAGTACTTATATATGCTTACTTAACATTAGTTCTTGATGTTAACATACTGGGTATAGCCATATAAGCACCATCTTCTAAGAATGATATACTTGATTCTCTTGGTGCATCAAATTCATTTACACAACCCCAAGATATTGAATGAGCATCGGCCCTACCAGTTCGCCATCGTGCTCTACTTAACACATCTAGTACTGCATTATAACGAACATCTCGTAGACAACCACGTAAGCCATTTGTATGGCCTAAGAATAATTCGGAAAAATCTCCTTGACCGCCAATGTACAAACCACCATACATGTTAAGTTCATAGAACCCAATAGGCAGTTTTTCCCTAAACAATATAAAAAAATGTATGACCCAATGGTATGAAACCAATAAAATCTGGAGGACTATTTACCTGACTATGTGTATTTTATCAACTGCCAAATTCAAATCTCCTTCTTTCCGTGATATGTTCACCAAATGCCAGTTGAGATCATCGAGCCGAAGTCCTCTCGGTGATGATATCTCTGATTCACCAGCTCCGAGGTTAATCTTTACCTTAAGCTTACCAGCTTCCAGTAGGACAAAACAGTAGTCTGTTTTTCCAGCAGCCAAAAACAGGAAAGCATCCAAGTGTTTCGTACGAAAAGCAAAACTAATTTCTGTCGTGCTTTTGGCATCTTGATAAGGTACGTTGACATAACTAGATCCATAAAACGATGCTGCAAAAAAAAAAACCGTTACTTCATGTATACTGGCCACCGCCGAACACATTAAAGACAATAATTTACCTATCTCCGATGAACAAAACTGTACGACACAGAGGCCAATCAATAAACTGCTGCATTTTATCGAAAACATTTTAATGGAATCATTAAAAAAGCACTTTTAACAACATTATTGAAGAGTAGTCTAGCCGACGGGAAACAATCGGTGCAGATGGCACAAGTTAAAAATATACCTAGAAGTCTCGAACGCCCATAACACTCACCCCTCGTTACTCATTCACTTTCTGTTAAACTAATTACTAATTTGTCTAAATTTAGCCCCCTTTCTCTAATCACTCATCAGTCCTCATTCAGATCTCCCGAAATGTGATAACAGCAAATATTCGATTTTCGTGAGATCAGTTGCACCAACATTGAAACCCAAAATTCCACCAAAACGTCTGTTTGGTTACGTGTGGTGGTATGGTGTAACCACGATTTAAGATATTATACAACTTTACTGTATAACCCTAAACCCACAGATATATAGAATAAACGATAAACAGATAGGTATTTAATATTTATATGTTTATATATCTGTGTGTATAACACTAACACGGTTTTGAAGATATTTTCTAAGATCGTGCTGTATAATATCCTGTTTATCTCAAATCGTGGGTGTAACTAAAAAAGTTTTATTTATTTATTTTCAACTTGAATTCATTATTCAAAATTAAAAGTTGTTATTCGTTAGGTAAGACTGCATACTGCATAGTTTAATATATTATAGAGTCACATAGACTGATAACATTTAAAAACTGTGAACTTATCCCATCAAAGTTGTCTTAGAGACTAGAACTTTGAAATTAACCCAAATAATAGCATATGATTTGAATAACTACTGAAGTCTCAAATATTATCTTGAGCCGGGTTTCGTGAATATTTTTGTCATCAAATTCATTACATATTTACATATTTATGTTATTTACTGAATGCTGAAAATAAAAATGAGAAGTAGGTATTACAGCAAATGAAATCAAATTAAATTAGTGTTTTGAATATGGTAAAACAATTGACGATGATTAGAAACAATAACACAAAGAAACCGTGCATAACCGTAAAAAACTAAAATGTAATTTAGGTTCTCATAAAGTCATAAACATCCATTTTAATTTTGAAGTTGCCTAAACAAATTCAAAACTATTAAATGTTTGTAGTGACTTAAAATAAATAATACCAATTATCAGTATTATGTTATTATCAATTAGTTAAAAATTATACCAATAGATATCCTTAAATTATTTTTTAATTTAAATACAATATTTTTCTCTAATATCATCACCTACAAGACTACCCTTGGCGGTCGTGGGATCTTTCAAGTTTCCTCCGGCTCAGCCAGTGATTTTATGCTATGTAAATAGATGGGTGACCGTTTTTCTTTTGTGGTTTTTTTTTTTATCAATTTGCTCAACGATAAAGGTTATTACCGAGTGTGTGTACAGTGTATTGTGTAAGTCTGTGCTTACATTTTTTTTTGTTTTCAAACTTTTTATTCAATTATTGGTTTTGAATGTGGGTAAAAGATAATAAACATTTAATACGAAGTGCCTTCTTCTATTTTTCATTCATATAATTCTATAGCAGTGGCGTGGCGACAAGATTTTATAGTAGGGGCGAATACATTTTTTTGGTACCCACCCACGTTTCACAGATTTGTATATACCCCCCACCATAATTTAATTACAAACCTCTAAAAAAGTTATTATTTTTATTTTTATTATTAACCAATTCTAAATAATTATAATAATAATAATAATAATAATAATAGTAAATAAGAATTCTAGAATAGTATACTGCAGTTGAATGACAAATATCATAAAGGTAAATTAATATATTATTTACCCTTAGATATCACCCACTAACATAAGCACCCACCCACCCCTGGGTTGTACTAGGGGCGGTTGCCCCAAAAAATCTACTTCGCCACGCCACTGTTCTATAAATATTATTTCTTAGGAAAGTTTGAAGTTCGAGTTTTAATAAAATGCGTCAAAATCAAGAACATTTTCAAATTATTTTGTTTTTAAAAATCGAATTATAGTACTTCAGTCTTCAGACTGTCAAAGAACAAAGATTATCAGTTGTTTTAAAAAAAAATAGGATAAAGCGTTCAAAAACCATGATTAAAACGGCTTCGAACTATGAAATTCGTTAAAACTTAAAATCATGAAAAAATACAAATTATTTTGTCACTATTATGATTTATGATAGGTAAATGTTTTATGTAATTTAAATAACATATTTTTAAAGCTAATTATCACCATTAGGATAACCTCTAGCAGTCGTGAGATTCTTTCAAGTTCACTCCGGCTCAGCCAGGGGTTTTATGTTACACAAATAGATGGATAACCGTTTTTCTTTTGTGCTTTTTTTTATATAATTATTGTTTGTGATTATAAACTATTTAAATAATATGAAGTGCATCATACATTATTTCATACGTGCAATTCCGTAAATGTTATTCGTAGGAAGTTTGAATTTTTCATGTTTAGAAGTGACCTATAGGATGCATGTTTAACAAAATATTTAGAAAAATTGAGAGTTGACCAAAACCTCAGTATGGGATAAAAAAAAGTTGAAAACTTTTAAGTTAATACTGAATTAAAGCTAATATTTTTCTCAATAATTACTTCGAAGTTTTAGAATTATATAGGTACTATAAATCGTTTGTTAAGTGTTAACTATATCAATCCATCACTTATCAGTCTAGACGTCTCATAGTTTTCTATCCTGCAATCTAGGTGGAACAAATTATTTTTATCATAATTCATGTATTTTTTTTTTTTTTTTTTGTTTTAATTGATCCTGAGCCCGGCAACTGTGGCCATTAGCTATTAGTAGGTACTGTAGGTTTTTGTATTGATGGTTTGTAGGTTTTTGGAACGGTAGGGGGAACACGTGTGTGTTTGTTTTGGCAGAATTTCGAATTGCTCTCCGGTCACCGCGACTTGTCCGGAGAAAAATGCCGCCAGGTAACCGAGGATCGAACCGCGACCGGCTGCGTCGCAGCGGAAGAGTCAGACCACTCGGTCACCTCGTCCCCCTCATGTATTTTAATATGAACTCTTGTACGTATTAAGTTGCTCAATTAAGTCTTTATTTATTTATATAATTATATCAATTATTGAATTATATAGTATTATGGTTATATTATTATATAATACTTATATATATATGACCCTTTTTTTCATTTTGGCTCTTCCACATTTATTAATATATTGGGTGGCTCTCGAGTCTCTTCTCGCTGGCTACCCCTGCTCTATAGTATCATAAATCATAATTGTGTATGACAGTTATTATAATAGGAATATTAGTGTTCATTACTTATTAATTATTAGTTATGAACTATTATCATAGACCTACATAAATAAATGGACTGATAGCAGAGACAAAGGTTATAAAGGTTCGGGGACTAACATTGTTAGCAAAAATTAAAATATAGCATACAACTTAAGGCCCATCATATTATAGAGTAATCATAAGCACTGCAGGTGACAGGTCTATTAACAATATATCTGTCAATCTCTTTCTAACAAAGTTGGCACTTGGAAACACAGAGGAAAAGGGCTACCAAATGGCTGCCCTCGGACAAGAGAAAAAAACCGATAATATTATACGTTCTAGTGTTGTAATTTATCATTCTTTAATGTTCATTGGTTTTCACTAACGTCAGCAATTTTGATGGCCCTTGAACATTTCCAGATTCCTAATGTGAACCTTCAAAAATATTAATTGGTGACCTCTGCTATAGGGCTATACCTATTAGGATATAGTGAATGCTCAGTCCATATAATGTCCGAGCTCAATATATTTTAGCCAGACAATCAGTAATTATAAACTCTATATGTGTACCCACTACCCACCTATATATATGGTTAATAAGTAATTACACAATATATCCATCATAAGTCAGAAAGAAATATATTTGTAAATAGCATTTAAAAATTAACATGTTAATTACAAATTTAAACAATAAAAAATAATTGTTAATAATTGATGAATAAAAGTGATAGATAATAATTATTATAAGTAAGTACTTATCTAAACTACAATAATCCAATTTTCTGTGATAGCCCTTAGAAAACAATTATTCGTCTATTCATTTTTTTTTTTTAATTGAATTTTTATTATTATTTCACGAATTCCCGTGAAAAAGAGATATTTCTGAGGTAGAAAATAGAAACGCTCGGGTACCATTAATATATATTTTATTCATACAGATTAAAGTAATTTGGTTATGACTAGGTATAGTTATCTTTTATCAAGCTATCGATAAGTGACAAGGTGTACAAAATAATATAATTTTTTCACATTTGTTTTGGTCATAAAAATATTGATGGGTTGGCACTTAATATAGGTAGTTGTAATGTTCTATACTAGTAAGTAACATCCATTGTTATTAATCTATTAACTTACATTTTTTTTTCATTAATTCATGTATATACTTAACTAAAAATAATAATAACAGTTTATACTACTAATATAAAGACAATAAAAACTATGATAATTTCATACAGTTTCGTATACAAGTATGCATGCCTATTTTGTAATTTGGATAACAATTAGTGTTATTATAATACATTGTAATCGTAAAATATATTACACAATAATTATGTTACTAGAAAAATCATGCAATTTATTCATTAAAACATATAACTGTTGAATAAAATGAGCGCTTACATTATTATTCATAATATTATCTATTTTAAACTATCATTTTGTAGGCTTTGGTAGTGCCCAGTGGATCTTCTATTTCCATAGCAGATTAACTATATATCTATTAATCAGTATTGTAAATGATACTTTTTCAAAGTATTTCAACTAGAGACATAGATATCGTTTTTAGCTTTACAGAGCTGCTATAATAGGTAAGTATTTTTTAAATGTTATTTAGTAAAATATAATAACTAAATATATTGGAATATAGGATACTTTATAATTTTTGTTCTCACTACTCGCCAATAACAATTAAAAGCTATCTTTCTGTATTTTATTTTATTTGAATATTAAATGAGGGGAAAACAATTTTGAAGAGTTAAAAATAACAAAATCATCATAATATATTTATTTAATTAAAACAATGTATAAAATATGCTGCTTAGGCATTTAAATAAAATACAATATGAATATAATATTTTAATAGACGATTATGTACATGATTTTAAGAAAGGTAAAAAAGATTCACAAATTACATAAATATAACATTTCTATTATTACATTTGAACATGACATAGAAATGTAAAAAGATACATCATGTTTCAATATTTGCATTTACAATGAAAATTACAATGTGATAACATTATGTGTGTATTCAAATGAGTATAATAGATGTTAATTATAATTGGTATAAGTTACTCTGTATAATTATATTTAATCATTTAATTACTTAATATATAATATTTATTAAAGGTCATTAAACCTCTTACAAAAAATACTGGTTATCAATATGAATCATATATTATTTTTAATAGTAAGAGCAGCAATAACACCATTCACCAACACAAACTGAATTAGCATGCACTGAATGAAAATGCGACCTACATTTTTTATCACGATCTTCAAGTTTCCCCCAACACGCAGATCTCCTACATCCATCCATGCAATTTATAGATTTTGTAGAACTTTCGGGATCTATAGAACTCTCGGGTTGTGTAGAACTCTTGGGATGTGTAGAACTCTTGGGATGTGTAGAAATGTCGGTCAATGACCTTTTACTTTTTGCAGGAATCTTCAGATCTACTGTTTCACAGGGTGTGTTTGGTGGTGAATTTATCATCTTCACAGATCCTAGGACATTTTCATTTTCGTCCATATACACAGCGTTTATGCTTGTTGGTCGCACATCAGTCACATTATTTGTGTATACAAGTTCAGCCATATATGTTATTCGTGAGTGCTCAGCAAGTAATCTTGCAAGTTGTTGCTCGACACTACTGTTAAGCAATTTTGACTTACAATTATGGTTAAGCGAAAATACATTCAGAGAATCATTTGATCCCCCCAAGGAATGCGCTATTATACGTTCTTTATAATCTCCTCCAGTTTGGACATGCATATCGGTATCGTTATTTATTGTCTTATTCTGTGATGCGTATATTTCTGGCGTAACTTTTACGCAAACATATCTTGTCCTTCCATTAGAATCTATTAGAAATTCGTTTTCGTTTTTAAAATGGATGAGCTCATTTGAGACAGGTAAACTAACTCTAGATAATCCTGGCATTGTTGAATATGGAACAGATTTAGGACATTGAAAAGCAAAACCGCTGTATACATCCAAGCAAGTAATCAATAGAATAATTTTAAACTGCAGAAACATATCTATAAAGGTAACTTATACAATACTATACCTAAAATATACAATTATTTTACAATACAAAGATTCCAGAAAGGAAGATATCCAATTACAATTGCTTTAGGTAATTTTTATGCTATTTATACCTAGTTTAGAATTTAAATATTAAAGTTAATTTTAAATTTATCCTCATTTATTATTCTTAAAATATTTTATCAATTTCTCTATACAATGAGATATATATATATTATATTTACTTATTAATCTTCTAATCTTAAATGTATTAATAATTTATTTTATAAGCTATGCTATAAATAATTTTAAAAATAATTTAAATTTATTTATTATCAAATTATACCTACACAGTTAAAAATTAAACAGAAAATATACAGAATTACGATAAAACACTAAAATTTGTAATTATGAGCTTGCCTTAATATATTGTTCTATTTTATAAACAGTACCTAGGTATTGAACTGCAACTTGAGCGATATCTGCATGGTATTCCAGGAGAAACGTCCTTTGAATAAATGAAGTTCTGCAGTTCTTTCTTCTGAATTGAATTACTCCAGGATCAAAGTCAATTACCAAATAAAATGGTATTGATTTTTTTTTGTTTTGCCTACATTCAAAGAATCTTAAATCCCAGCTTCGATTTGTAGTTTGAGAAGTAGGCTGAGTACAACCAAATACAACAATAGTATTTAAATTTGTATAATGTATTAATTAAACACTTATTAAATTATTATAAATTTATTAAACACGCACTTGGCCTAACAGAAAAAGTACAACTGTCAAAGAATATGCCATATGCTACCGCATATTATTTTAATTTTCTACAGATTGTCGTGCTTGTTTGACAATGGCATAATGGGGCCCATATTTATGATGTATGTAATATTTATACATATAAAATAGATCAAGTATTAATGTGACCAGTAATTATGGTTTGGTAACACAATAGTAATTAATTTGTGATAAGGTATATTACATAGGAGACGTTAGTAACATGACAAACTTCGTTATTAATTTAACAGAAAACCTAGTTTTGTTCAATTTCGAACAATAACATAATATGAATTAATAATTATTATACGGGGTGATCTGTTTGTTAAGAATGACAACATAAAATTTTAATTTCATATTCCGAAGTCTTATTCGGAGTATTTTGATAAATAAAAATTTCGGACAATTAGTTATAAGTTATAAGCATTTTAAGATTCGATGAGTAGAGAAGAGGACCAACATTTTGCAGGTTCTCATCCTGCACCACTTCACACATTTAAATTTAAACTTTAAATACTTATAACTCATATTATGCTCGGTTTCATGAACAATAACTTAACATTTAACGAATTAATATGAGCTAATAGTACCAAATATGATCAGGCCCATGATTTGTTTATTAAAATGTCTTGAACTATATAATATTTATCAATTGTTTATGCAAACCAGCAATAATAGATTATACACGAGTCCAACATCCTGTGTTCTGCTTTAAGCTTCAGAGTAAAAATAGAAAAACATTTTTTTTTAGAAAAGTTTTGTTTTTTAATGTTTCATTTTAAAATTGAATACAAGGCTGAAGGTTCATCATACGTATTTCATTAACCATTTAAAAAATATCGAAAATATTTCTTAACAAACGTTCAAAGTAAATTGACGAAATTGATCAAAATCATGAAAAATACAAAATAAATATTTGAAATATAACTTCTTATGATAAAATAATAGAAATATTTTGTATAATCTTTTGTAGGCTGTAAGCTGGAATTTGAATACAATTTTATATTCAAACAAATCAGTGGCGTAATTACGGGGGGGGATTTGGGTGTCGAATCCCCCCCCATGACCCTGTTTTTTTTTTTTTTTTTAATCGTCTAACACATTTATGTACTTATTATGGTATATTTTATAGATTTAACAAAAATCACCCGAATCCCATAATATTATATTATTATCTAACGATATTATACGCGCTAAAAATAACTGATGGATTTTCCACATTATCGGTTAACGGTTTATCGGAATTCGGAATACTCACAATCGCAACGACTCTCCGGACTCCGACCTCCGTTACTCGTTAGTCATTTCTCATTTGGTAATAATCGGCTCATACTGTGAATTTTGTGATATTGTCTAATTGTGTGTTTTGTGTGTTTTCTGAATTAAATTAATACATTATAGTGATTCGTTTTCGAATGAAAGTGCAACACAAATTACGATTTTTTATTTAATATTTATTTATTATTCGTTAATTATTTTTAAAATAAAACAGCGTAAAATTATAATAGAATTTTTTATTTCTAAAAATGGAAGGTAAAAGGAAAAAAGATGATAATACTAAAAATACACTTTTAACATATTTTTCAAAAAAAAGTCGTAATAATAAAGAAAGCTGTGATGATGTAAGTACCATATTACTATGATCAATTTATATCT